TTCTCTATTTCCAAGAACTCTGGGCATGGGAAATGACCCATGGAGATGGTTCTATACTGATTGGATACCTTGGGAGATTGCAACTCATTGTTAAGTTTTCCATTGTTCTGGGTAAGGTCCAGACTCAAACCAAGAGTTTGACCGGGGCTATTGTTTGGTCCCAGATTTTGATTGGCATCTCGAACTAAGCAAGACACTTGAACCGGAGAAGATTTTCCAAAACTAGAAAGCTCTGGTGACTTATTCACATTTTCAGTTGATCTCTGTAATCCATGTGTCAACTTCAAAGCGTTATTTGGCAGCATGCTTGCTTGCTTAACAGGTGGCATCAGCGCTTTTCGTGGTATTTCCTTCACATACTGTGCTGGCACATAAAAGGGTTTGGAATTTTCATCTCTTTTGACTTGCCACCAATCATCGTTAGTCTTTTTCACCAAGATGTATTTCTCCCCTTGCTTAATCACAATTTTCTTGTCCTTGGCCTCATACTCATAGTCGTACTCCACTTCAATGTACAATTGTCCTGGCAGGATCTTCCCACCTTTATCAGCCATTTCTGTTTGAAAGGATTTCACCTTTTCAGGCAAAAGGTAAGCCACATTCTGTTTCAGCAGTTTTATTTTCCTCTTAATAGTCAGAGCTGTAAGAAAAAACACATAGATAATTACTTTATTACATATATAAGAGCACTTCAGAGGAAAATAATTTCAAAAATAACCCTGCCTATTCAATTTAAGTCAGACTAATAAATTGATGGGAAAATGTGAGATGTTGAGATACCTTTCTCAGTGATAAAACAGAAAGTCAGTAGAGTAACTTAGTCATCAATTTAACTCTCCGTTTTACACAAGCCTCCTGCTATCAAGTTCCTCGTTAAGCCCGTTGTTTCTGTTACTAAATAATGATGATCAAGAGGGGCTTGGGCGGGGGACTAGAGTCAATCTCTTGCTTACACACAGGCTTAATTCATGGAACTGTGTTATTACACGGGTTTTAACCAAAATATTCAAAAGCAGAAGATTATTATTTGCTTATTTTGATTCCTCTTTCGGTTCAATAGCTCCTTCAGAGTGCTCAAAATTCCTTACAAAATCCCTTAAATCTTCCTCCAATGCTACAACTCAGTCATCAGGTTCAGCCTGGGCTGGCAATCTTTGACCCACGGGCACTGCAGGCTCTGCAGAGCCCGACAACCTTCAGAACCTAACTGGAGAAGATGACCATGAGGGAGCTACAGGACCCACACAGGCTGAGGCTGCAGATCACGTTGCCTCTGCATATAGCTGTTGTCTATAAAACACGTGGTATGACCACTTTTTTATTTCTTTCTTTAAATTGCTAGTGTAACTACAACACGGAATTTAATGTTCCCAAGATACTTTGGTTTCAGCGGTTTAAATTCTGCATATTTACTTTGCTCTTAAGAGAGCTTTTTATGGTATTTACCTTACAGAAAACCTGATCTAGCCAAAAGTTTAGGGGCTAAAACAGAAAACACAAATGAAAAACCAACAATAATGAAACAGGATTATGAACCAAACCAAAAAGTGGATAATTTTAATAAATGAAAGGGTAATCCATAAAAATTCTGAACAGGACTTTTAGCATCTTATAATCCAGCCAGCCACCATTGTATCCACACCCATGAACTGCAAGTTCTCTCTGTTTAATCACACAGCATCAGTGTCACAACTCCTGAGTGGATAAGCATCAGTCTCACCAACTTACACTGAACACAACATAGTAAGTGAACATGAAAGATATGATTTCTTGATCTTGAAAATCAAAGCACGTAAGTAAAGGGGAAGATCTCTAGCATTCAAACAGAAGGTAGGAGAATTCAAGGAAAATGCTGCCACACTTAAAGATTAACGAATTAGTCTTTTTGAAAAAAAAATGCATGTTTCATGAATAAGGAAAGTTATGTAGAAACTTGCAGCTCTGCAAGTTAAGATTTTGTGATGAGATCTGTAGCATTTACTCTGCCACAGAGTGGAACTAATGCAATTCCATGCAGGCACACACACGCAGAGCAAGCTCAGCTACCCTAAATGGGACTAAGGACAGAAACAACAACAAAAAAGGACTCCTGGGAGAGCTGAAGCAGAAACCCCTAACAGTTCTTCAATTTTTCTTTCACTATTTCTGCTATTTGGTCTGAGCCTTGGGAAAAAGAAAAAAAAACAAAACATTTCCCACATAACTCAGTAAAGAAAGAAGAAGCTAAAAAGCTGAAGTATGATGCCAAGACAGAAGTGCCCATCTCTAAACTGCGTCTTTCTCTCTCCCACAGGCCATCTTCCTTTACTTCCAGGAAGCACTTCCCATAGGTAACTTGAAAGCTACCATCATTTACAAGACTCCAAAGGGAATCATAAAGTCAGACTTATAATTTTATTGAAGACTTGGCAGAAGGAATGATGGGATCACATGGGACAAAGCTGACCATAGAAAAGAATGCTGGGATTTTGGTGTTTACTCTTGCCACCACAAAATGGTACATTGACATTCACAGTGTTGTAGTCTATTTACAGCCTCCATACAAAACAACTTGCTTACCTGCTGTTCTACACAAATAGGTATTTTTAAGTGCAGCTTTGCAGTTGTTTAGCAACTGTGGCAGGAGCTAAACATGAACAAATTACAGCCATTCCCACTCTGTTCCTAGTTTTGGAAGCTCTGCCATATGAATGTTATTTTTTCCTTGTTACTAAACCTGACTCCTCCCAACACTTCTGCAAAGCCGCTACCAACCCCCCTCACAGCTTCAAGGTCACACACCAGAAAAACGCAAGTGTTTCCAACTTACAGTCTATCTCTAAGGTCAGCTACCTTCAAAGTTGAAATCTAGGACGAGGACCCATTCACGCTGTTTTTCCTTCTCCCATACAGAAACCAAAAAGGCAACATAAGCCTATGGTTTCCCACAGGGCTACCAAGTGTTTAAAAGCTTGGATTTTTCATTTCTCTTTTGCCAATTCCATGTAACTATTTACTGAGAAGGCATGCTTAACATTTTTTTGAGATGGGTAGGTTCAATAAGTTGCATTTTATGCTTAAAAACTAACATAATTTTGAGAAATAAAATACAGTAGCTACAAAAATAGCTCTATCCACTTAGCCAGTTTTGCAGCCTCGCCCCTTTCCAAAAAAAAAAAAAAAAAAGCGCAATTTTTTGTTCTTTCATCCAAGCTGCACAATTATCAAGTCAATAGCAAACATTTGGTAATGTTGAACATACCATCAAAAAGAAACAAGCTGTGTTCTGTGTTTGGCCAGAACACTAGAACAGTTTTATAAACAGATCACATCATCAGGATCAAGCCAGGCTCTAATTCTCCACCTCAAGAGAGAAGCAAATATACCTATGGTATAGGTGGGAAATCTTTCTCAGCAAGTTTAACAAGCATCAACATTAACCCTGTAGGTCTGCAAACAACTACCATAGCCTTGATTTCACAGATCCAAATGCATTAAATTTTGTTTGAATTTTTTTTAATGCAGCTGTTGTGCCACAGAAGGTAGACCGCCTGCACGCCACACGCAGCCCAGGGGACAGCAACCTGTCCTGTCCTTTCAAGGGTCCACGTACAGGTCTCTTAGAACTCGGGTTAAAGAGCCACAGAAGCCCTGGCCCAACCTCTGCTGTAAGGGGCTCAGTGTAATTCAGATGGGAATGCACAATATTGATGTCTGGAGTACTGACTTCATTGTGCGACCAGTCAAGAACTGAAGCGACACGGCAGGTCAGACCTTGTAACCTCATTGCTTTTTTTTTTTTTTTCCTTTGTCATTACCTGTAATGCTGGATGGCACCCACTTTGGTAAAGGAGGTTGAAGAACACTAATTAGAGGATGATAAGCATGAAAAACTATTTACTTCCACAGGGGACATCTGTAAAGCTTTAATACCTTAAAGAAAGCCTCAATACCTGATTAAGAGATTCGTAACAATGAATGGCACCACTGACAACAAAGACCTAAGAGAACTTATTCATGAACACCAAAACACAGGCTCAGGCCACACTTTTCTTCTGGTAAAGTAAAACCCAAATGCTACAGGGTAGCGAATTTAAGGTGGGCCACATCCTCATGTGGAAATACATCCCACCCTTTCACAGGGCATT